ATCCCGGCCATTTAGAAGAATCCCATTTCCCTCTGAGCCCGGGCCGCTCAGCTCGCTGTGCGGAGCTGCGGTCGCAGTGCTGGGCTTCATCCCGGCCCACCTTCTTCAAGGTGTTCTATTCCCGTGTTGAGGCGGTTTCACACTTAACAAGAGTTTAGCGTTTTTACCAGCACTGGATTCAGAATCACACATATATGTATTTGATCTCCGGTTTTGACTCTCCTGCCTACTTGTTCTGTCATTCGTGTTTCTCGAAGCATTGTCTCTCCGTCACCTCGAGGTGCAGGTAACATTGACCTTGCAGGGTCGTGGTAAGGGTCACAGCCGTGTGTGCAAGGTGTCTAATACAGGGACTGACGTGAGGCTGAAGAAAGGTGGTTGTCGCATGTCTCGTGTGTGCATGCGTGCACGCAGCAGTGGTGAACCAAGTCCCAGGGACAGAGGGGTGCGCCCGTCCCATCGGCCCATGCCAGCCCTGTGGCAGCTGCCCCTGTGGCTCTGTGGGGTGTCAGCCACCGGAGCGCGTGTCCCAGGGCCCGGCGGGCCTCGCCCTCCTTCCGTGGCCTCGCCGATGGCGCGCGCCTCTGCAGGGGCCTGTGCACACGGCGCTGGAGCCCGTGGGCCGTCGCGGCGCTCCTCACGTCACGCTTTGCGCAGCCACGGTTCCGGGGGTGCTCAGGCATGTGGAGTCTTGGAGGACGTTTGAGGGCTCCGAACTCGGTGCGGCGGTGGTGGCGACAAGCTGCGTCACCAGAAATGCGTGCGGCTCCTCCGTTGTTTTTCTTTTCACCTTGGACAGGACTAATTAAGCTCCCAGGCTTCCTGAAGACGCCCAGGAAAAGCTCTCCAGCCTGAAGCGGCCGCTGTGTTTTCTGTGGAACGAAGACAGATTGAGAAACTAGACATTTTAAAAGGCCGCATGGATCTGGCCACAGGCGCACACAGCCGTGTCCGCCTGCTTTGGCTTTGCGTTCGCTCACGTCTGCACTTGGAGGTGTGACTGAGTGTCACCGTTTGGGTCCTGGGAGCCCTGCAGCGGGAGGAAGGGCCGCGTGCTCCCTGGCCTCGTGGGTGCGGGTTCAGCCCTTGGCGTGGGAGCGTCTCGGACTCACCGTGGCCGAGTCAGTGTGGGGCGGTCGGAGGGGTTGCTTTGCTGGCACCGTGACGCACTTTGCCTTTTCCTGCTCCACTGACGGCAACAAGGCAAACGAGGACCGCCGCCCTCGCGTTTATGCCACCACGGCCTGCCTGTGGTTTTGCACAGCCCTTTCACCTCCCTGTTGGAGCCCCCAGTAATGCCACGGCACAAGCATTCCCTTCTTCACCGGGGTGGAGCCCTTGTGGCCCGTGGGTGACACGCAGCAGCGGGGCCCCCCCGCCAGTGCTCTGCTCGTGCTCCCCCACCCGTGGCGACGGCGCTGCCCCGCCCCGCTCCGCTGCCCCACGAACAGCCCTCCTCTCCCAGCGAGACGCCGTCCTCGCTCTCGAGACTGCGCGCCGTTCCCCTTCCGTTCTTCCACAGGACTTCAGTTAGCGCTGTTTTGTCTGTCTGTTTTTTACATTTAGTTAGCTGTTCAGTCTGTTTGGAATTTGCTTTGTGCAGGGTGTGAGGTAGGGGTGTCACCTTCCGTCTGCCTGCGTAGCTGTTTGTGCCGGCGATATCTGTGCACTCCCCTTAATGACCTGCCCTGCCACAGTGGCCAAACGTCTTGCCCGCACAAGTCACGTGTCCTGGCTCGGCTTCCGGGCTGTGCTTTCTCTCATGGACGTGGTTGCCGTCTCTGCCCCACTCCCTTGCCCGGCTCCCCTGCCATCCTCCTTGCCGCCTTGGGACAAGCCTGGGCATCGGCTTGACCACATCCCTTCCATTGTTTTGCTCTTGGTCCTTTGCTCTTATATAGAAATTTAGAGTCAGCGGGTCAAGTTTGACAAAAATCAAAACACTGAGTTACACTGAATTTGTATAAAATTGGGAAGAAGTGACTTCTTTAAAAAATATTGTTTTCCTATCCTTGAACATGATATATATACACGTTTATTCATCTTCTTTGATGTTATTCCATGAAACTTCAGAATTTTCTCCATAAATACCCTGCATACATTTTGTTAGACTTATTTCTAGGTGTGTTCCTACTATAAGTATGTTTTCTTAAAAAATTCATTTTCTAACTTTTTAGTTGCCATGCATGAATGTTACTGATTTTCTCTGTGGGTCTTAACCCCCTGTTCAGCAACCTTTTGAGCCTAGTTTGCCTCATTTTACACAACATGACCAAATTTAAATAATGTTCCCCTCCTCCCAGCCCTCTGCGCTCGTGAGAGTGTGACTTCCGTGAAAGCAGAGACCTGCTTCTCTTGCTCGCTTGCCCGTCCCCGGCGCCCGCAGCAGGTGCTCTGTAGGCATTGGGTGTCGGAGATGGATCCGTACGATTCCCAGCTCTCGGAGGAGGAGGCGGTGCCACAGCCACCTCGAGGGCGTTCCGCATGCGCCGCTCTGCGCCGTGTCTCCTTCCAGGCAGTCTGATCCCCTCCCCCCACTTTTCTCCAGATCCTTCCCTGCCACTGGGCCGTGATCCCTCCGGTCCCCCAAACCTGGCAGGTGGCTGTGCCCTTCAAGGACCTTCTCTGATCTAGATCATCCCGGAAGCTTCCCTGGGCTTCCCTGGGCTTCAGAAGAGCCCAAAGAGAGCAGCCGGAATGAACGTCCACTCTGCGCTCACTAGGGCATAAAACAAGAAAATTGTCCGCGTGACGTCAAGGGTGCAGAGGGGGACCCTGGGTAGTGCTGCTGCGGTTCGGGGAAGGAAACCCATTTATGACTAACGGGAGGCAAAGGCCCACCAGCATCTCCTGCGTGCAGACCCCGGATCCAGGCGGCCCACAGCCGTGCACCAGAAAGGCAGGACGCCGAGGGGCCGGGGCCCTTCCTGTGCAGCTGGTCGTGGAGACGCCAGCCAGCGAACCTTTCCTTCCCTGCTCCGAAGAGCCACTTCCGTTTCCTCCTCTGGTGAATGTTTCTCGAACTCCCTCTCCTGATGAAAGATTCAGCTGTGATTAAAGATTTCATGAAGTCATGACAGAGGCAGAATAGATCATTCTTGAAAGCTCATTTTTCCGCGAGCTGAGTGAAGAGGCCTCTCGCAGGCAGCTGTCAGAGCTAATGAACGTTTCCCAAGTGCTGCAGCCCTGGGGAGGCACCCAGCCCACAAGACTTGGAAGCCACCGGCGTGAGCCTGCTCTTCTAGAGACAGGTGTTGGCCACCAGCAAGCAGTGTGCGTGGCAAAAGCTATAAAGCTGCTGCTTTACCTTCCTCCCCCAAGATTAGGTTACACGCGCGCATTGTGAGATGTTGGTGTTTCCCAGATGCCCCATGGCCTTGTGGCGATGTCTGTGTGCGTGTGCGTGTGCGTGTGCATGCACACCCACAGATGCGTTCCTGCCCCCGCCCACCACAGCTCCCTTCTCTGGCAAGAGCAGGGGACGAGGTTTGGGTTTGGAATCTCTGTTTCCGTCTCCTGTGAAAAGGAGAGGCCACTGAGCCCCGAGCCCCGAGCCCCGAGCCTCAGCCATCCCCAGCGTTTTCGGCGTCGCACGGCCTCGCTTTCCCTCCCGGGCACAGGCTGAGGGAGGGCAGCTGCCGGGGCCGCTAGGATAGAGTCACCTCCCGTGGGTGCTAGGCCCCCCTTCCTTTCACAGCCAGCCACACGTCAGGGACCCGCATGGGCACGCAGGTGCCCTGGCAGGAGCCTGCTCGGAGGAAGGCATGCTGGCTCGCCACCCCCCAGAGGGCACGCCCCGTTCCGAGCCCTTCCTCCCTTGAAAAGCTGCTCTCCCCGCTCCCGCAGGATGGGGAGCAGCCGCTGCCTCTGTCACCGCCACCTGTGCCGCCTCCGGCCATGGGCACCGCTGGCCCGTCCGTGGCCTGTCACGGGCCAGCGGTGATGCTTGGCACCTGGGCACCATGTCTGCTTCAGGCAGCAGGCGACCGTGAGGGGAGCCGAGCGAGGGCAGCTTGCACCAGCGAGGCCTGGGCGCTCGGCTTTTGTTCTGTATGTGTAGCCAGTGAGTCCAGGATGGGGGCACAGGAGTGGGGGCAGGGCTGCCACAGCGGCTCAGTGCTGTCATCGCCCAGACGCGCCCGCCCCCCGAGCCCCCGCCATTCCCTGCACCTTCCCTATCCTGTGGCCCTGGTCCTCGTGGCCTCGAGTGGTGGGTGAGACTTGCGCCCCGGTTTCTCTCTAGGGAGGGAGGAGGGGGACGGGGGAGGCTGGGAGGTGAGTGCTGCCTTTTCTCCAGGTCTTGTCTTCTCGTTTGGGGGTGAGGGTCTCCTGACGTCCGTTCATCTTCGCTGGGACATTGCTCTGCGGAGCTCCCCTTGTGGCAGGGAGCTTTGCACCTTGTCCTCTGCAGTAGAGGGGGCGAAGGAGAGGAGGTTTTGAATGGGGGTGAGGGACCCCCCTCCGGGATCTCCCACAGCCCCGAGGAGCGGGGAGGAGTTGAGAACTCCCGCAGACAAGCTGTGGCCGTTTGTCGGTGGGTCTGTGGACCAGGGCCCCGCGCCTGGCCCGGGCCTGTGAAATCTGGTGAACGTTGGCGGATGGGGTGGTGACAGGGACCTGGCACTTGTTGAATGGCACCGCAGCCAAGTGCCCTCCCGCTGGCTGTCTCACTCCTGGGCCAGGTGTGCCAGCCCTCACACCTGCGAGGCTCAGAGAAGTCGGGGTGCCTTCCGCCGGTCATGGGTTTGCATGGGCGCCGTGGGGCTGTGAGCGTGCGCCCCCCAGGCCCAGGGCGCCTCTCCACACCCACCGGTTGGAGTTCACGGCTTTGTTTGGAGTGAGTCTCGGTCATCCCTTGGTCCAGGGGCTCTTGACATTTCGGATAAGCCGCACTTCTGATACCCTCAGGTCCCGGGGAATCTTTGGGGAGGAGAAAAGGCAAAGCCTCTGTCCTCTCGGGCTGTTGGAAGACTCTGAACCTGCCGTGTCTTTCCCCGCAGCTCCCGGCAGTGCCACCTGCTCCTGGATGTCTTCAACTCCACGGAGCGCGAGCTGACAGTCAGCGCCCGCAGCAGCGAGGAGCTGACCCTGCACGCGGGCGAGTGCCAGCGGTAAGTGTCCCATGCCTGTCAGGGGCCCCGAGGGGCTGCCGCTTTACGTGGTGGAGGCAGGCCCATTGGCTATTCCTCTCTCGCCCGAGCCTGCGCCGCAGGGGCCAGCCGGTCAGAGGACACTGAGAAATCCCCAAGTCCTTTTCGCAGACTCAAACCCAACTCCTGACAGCGCTGTCTCTCTGAGGTTCGGGCGCCCCCCCCCCCCCGACGGGGAAGCGGAGCTCTGCCTGCGCTCGCAGCCCTCGGCCGTCAGGTGATCGAGGCTCAGACCCAGCTGCTGCCTGGGGCGGTGTGGGGGGAAGGCTGGCCCCGGTCAGGGCCCTCGGGGGCCCAGCGGGGTTTGGGGGCCTTGCAGCAGCCTACGGAGGCTACCCGGGGACTTGTACTTGGGCTGTGGAGAGCCCGGGGTGTCTGGGATGTTGGGGGTGTCAGTGAGCTGCGGCGGCACCTGCGGGCGTTTGCCACAGGCTGTGCCCTGCCCTCTGATAACAGGATTCTAAACGTCTGTGATGTTCTTGAGTGAGGGGCGCTGCCCTGCCTGGAGGCCCGCTCCGTGGAGCCTTGGGAGAGGGGTGTCTGAGGGAGCGGTGGGGTTTGCTGGGCGCTCAGCTGGCCACTCGGGGGCAACGAGGGGAGAGCCAGGCGGGGCCAGGTCTCAGGGCCCTGGACGCCGGGGGCAGGAAACGATCTTTGCCACGTTTTTTATGATTACACTTTTAATGAGGGAGGTGGGGAGGGTTCTGGAGGGGTTTCCGCCTTTTGGGTTTTCCCTGTTCACGTCTGCAGGGAAAACGGCAGCTGCTCTGCGGGCGGGCGGCCTCCCGGGAGAGCCGTGGCCCTCGCAGGGGCCCGGCCGGCACCCCAGGGACCTGCGAGAGAGGCAAGCCCTTGGGGCCCCCTTAGGCTCACGCCGTGCGCAGGGGCCCGGCAGATGGCGCTCTCAGAAGCTCTGGTGCTTCTGGCGGCCCCCGGGGTGTGGGAGCCCGTGTGAGAGGGAGGCAGAGGAGTGCCGGCCAGGCCAAGCCAGCAGCCGCTCCCGTCGCCAGGCGCCCCTGCAGCCACCTTCGCGTTGGGGCTTCCTTTGCGTGTGGTTGGGCAGAGCATTTTGTCCCGAGGAACCCTTGCCTCCGTCTGCTCCAGTGATAGGCGCCAGAGCAGGGCGGGTTTGGTTCCAGCGAGCTCTGCACGGTCGGGGCTGCTGCGCTGCAGCAGCCGCTCGGAACGAGCCACAGCTGGCGCGGGTGTGCTGAGGGGAGGGCGGGCCGGGCAGCGCTGCAGGGCGGCGTCAGGGTCGAGCTGCCGGGGCCCGGGCGGGGCCGGGGGTCCAGACGAAGGCCGCCCGGCGCCGTGGACGGGGTGCCTTCGTGTGAGGCAGGCCCTGCTCTGTACAGTTTTCTAGTTTTCGGGAGTCCTCATCTTTCTAAATGCCTGAGTGTGCGAGGCGCTGCTCTGGTGTGGGGGTCCCAGGTGAGGGACTAGACACTTGGCTCGTCGTGACAACAGGTGCAGGAGGGAGGTGGGCAGCGCTGGCCCAGGGGCGGGGGAGTCCACAGGGTCCCCTGCTGGGGCGGACTCAGGGCTGGCACAGCCCAGAGGCCTTCGGGGTGGCGGGGGGCAGTGTGAAGGTGCTGCCTCTGCTCAGTCCCAGGGGACGGCTCGGGAGCTGTCTGGGCAGGTTCCTGAGCAGCCGTCACAGAGTCATGGTCACGGAACTGTCTTCTCAGCGTGCGTGCCAGCGCCCAGGGGTCAAGGCTCCGGCTCAGGGTTGAGGGAAACGGAAAGCCTAGCCTCTGTTGTGTGCTCGCTCACTCACAGCTCGCGGCAAATTTTAGGAAAAGCATCTCGTCATGTTTGTTTTCCTCTTTAATCTCTTAGTGTTTCCTGAACTATCCCTAGTGCCGTTTGAGAGAGGCAGTTCTTCTGAATGTGTCTAATGATTGTGACTGTCTGGGAAGAAAACCTTCTTTCCACTAGACTTTGGAATCTTCAAGTTGGAGGGGTCTCGGCGACCCCCACATCCAGGGCACCCCTAACAGAGAGTGAGGACCTGAGGCCCCGAGGAGAGGCCACAGGTGGCTCTCAGGATCGCAGGGCCGGCAGTGGAGCAGGTGCCCAGGGCTGGGGCTGCAGGTGCGTGGCAGGGCGCCCCCTCCCCGCTGAGCCCCGCGTGAGCCTGTTCTCTGTCCTGAGGGGACGGGTTGCCCTCTTCTGTCCGTCTGGGGACTCTCTGCTCATTGTCCCCGACCATTCTGAGCGTCCCCTCTGCCAGGTGCCTTCCCGGACTTCCGGAGACATGTCCTTTCTTCTAGGTGTCACCAGCGCCTTGTACCTGCCCCTGTTGTCAAGACTCCATGTTGCCATCACTGTGTGTCTACAGGTGTCTGTCCCCAAATGCGCAGGAGCCCAGGAGCAGGGGCCGCGCCTGATTGATTTTCTTTCCCCGGGGCCCAGAGTAGTCACTAGTGGGTAACAGATGTGGTGGAAGAATAGTGCCCCCCAAAGTCATCCACACCCTGATCCCCCTCCCTGTGCATATGCTCCTTATGTGCAAAGGCACCCTGCAGTCGTGACCGAGATAGGGAGATGGCCCTGGGGTCTCAGCCCACTGGGCTGCAGTGACGAGAGGCTGGTCTCTGTCCCCGTGGGCTCAGAGCAGGGGAGCCCTCTGTGCGCCGTGCTCCGATGGGACAGAGAGCAGCGGGTGAGGGAGATGGCAGGGTGGTCACTTCGGTCTGTGGGCGTGGAGAGTACGTCAGGTGTCACTCAGAGCCCGGAAGGCCCCGCCAGGCTTCGAGCAGAAGGACTGGCAGCATCTGGCTGGAGCTCTTCAGGTGGGCGGCTGTGTTTTGGGGGGGGTCTTTCTGGGGGTGTTTGAGGGCCAGTAGGCCCAGGAATGGAGTTTCCCATCCAGGCCTCTGTGGCTCCCAAGCCTGGGCACTTTCTTGTGTCTGAGGCTTCTAGATGCTTCTGCTTATCCTCACATTGCGAGAGGCAGCTCCTCCTGAAGTGACTTGAGGCGCTTGCCAAGGTCAAGCATTTCTCCCATTTTCCCCTTGTTCCCTGGGGGGCCTGGCTCCCCGTGGCCCCCAGGTGCTTGAAGAGACGGACCTCAGGCCACATGGCCTCCTCTCCCTGCACATGTGCGACCTACCATGAAGTGGAAGGTTTTCATGAAAATGAGTGCGTCTCACTGCAGAGCCATTAGATGACACTTAACAAAGAGCCCCGGGAGCTTCCGAGCCAGAGCCGTGCACGCTCTCTTCCTGACGAGTCTCCGCGCCGCGCACGCCGGGCGCTGAGCGCAGGGATGTGTCTGCCTTTGTTATTTATAGAAGCATTGGGAACGACCAGAATGTCGGACAATTGGGCTGATTAGTAAACTGCGGTGCATTTGTGTAATTGACTGTTGTGTAGCTATCAGAAATTATGTTTTTGTGGACTTTGCCCCGCGTGCTCAGTTGTCACAACGAGGACAGTGAAGCCAGCAACTCAGGCGGGAGAGATAGGCCCCTGAAATGGAAGGGAGGAAACACCCTGGCGACCCAGCCGGCCGCCAGTGCCCTGGAGCGAGTGAGAACCGGCGGCGCTGTGCTGGCTGCTGTTGGTTGGCAGAGTTCATATAGCAAATGAGTTGAACTTGAAACAGATTTGTATATGCAGTTAAAATGTGAAGCCTGAGGAATCGTACCTGAACGTGGGATTCAGATCTGAGGGGCACTTCGTACGGACGCCGCCTTGTGCCCCTGTTGTTCAGTCCCGGGCCTGGAAGGAGCTGGACCCTGTCTTTGCGGCCTGCGCTTCGCAGTGCGGAGCAGAGGTGGGAGGTGAAGCCCCACATGCTCATCACGGATGTGTTCACTCGATGCTTGTAAGAATGTGAGAGTGTGGGCAGTTTTCCTCTAGAGGACGAGGCCACGGAGGCCCCGAGCGGAAGAAACTGGTGGGGGGCGGGCCGCGCATGTGGGTCCTCGTCACAGAGACAAACCCCAGAGCAAGCGTGCTGAGCAGAGATGGCTGTGCCTGCCCCCTGCCCCTTCCGCATCGTGTGGACAGCCAGCCGTCTACCCGCCCCGGGTCCTAGGGCCATGGCTGTGCGCAAGGTGCCCAGAGCTGCTGACGTTGGCGGTGCCTGTTCTTCACAGGCCCCGTAGGAGGTGACGTGCGTCCAGGGCCTGAAATCTGGTGCTGAAGCAACTTAGTGGAGGCATAAGCTTTCTAGGGAAGCCGACAGTTTGGCCTTCTGCTTGCATGTGCCCAAGATTGTGGGAATGGCCTCACAACAGCCAGTGAATCAGGCATCGTAGCCCCATTTGCTAGGCGTGAAAAGCGTGCCCCCGGGAGGCTTCGCAGCCTTGCCCGGGCGCCTGGGGCTGGGCAGAGCCAGGCTTCTCTGCCCAGGGACCCTTGCACTGTGTCTGTTTGCAGCAGCGGGGTGGCGGGCCCTGCCTGGGGTTCCAGGACTGGGCCTTCAGGTGTTTGTCTGGCCCGGGGCTCCTCAGCAGGACGAGAGCCTGTGTCCTGTTGGCAGAAGAGAATGGACAAGAGAGCTTAGTGTTTTAGAGGTGATGACCCAGGCAGGAGCTGATTGGTAAGTAGAAGACTCCGCCCACTCTGTGAGCGCCCCTGAACGAGCCCTGGGGAGCCAGGCAGCAGTTCACGGCCTGAGAGGCCGGGAGAGCCCAGTTTCTAGAGCCCGGGCTCTCGGTGGTCGGTGCTGGCCGCCCTGAGGCGGCATGGCCTCCCCCTGCTGCCACCACGGCCCGAAGGCCACGGCAGCCTGCGTGAGCTCATGCCGTGCTCAGGTCCACGCTGGCGGCTCACGTCCCTCGGATGTCACCGGGCGGCCCTTGAAGTCAGGGACTTGGCCACAACCCCTGAAAGGGTGACCCGCCCAGTGTCCTCCCACACAGCACATTGTCGAATGAATGAAAGCAGTGATGTGGCTCAGTCTTTCAAAAATTGAATCTGTCCTCAAAAATGAGCTCTGCCAAGTGTGC